TCATTGTTTTTAAGACAAATGGATGTTGTTACCACTAAGAATAAAAATATTTTCCTTTCTTCCAGTAAGCTACACTGATGAGGCTGCTGATACCTCTCTTTAGGAATGCTGTAAGTAGCTCTGCTTGAGGTGCCATATGATATAAAATGGAGAAAGACGAGCTAAGGTGGCAGGCAGCATATGGACTAGCCATAGGATAAGGTTCCCTACAAGCTCAGTCCATTCTAGTCCTGCTCTCCTGAGGGGGCTGCTCTGAAAAGGGAGGATCGGTTAGTGATGCTTACAAGTCATATCATGTTTTTGGGAGAGTTTTAGTGGGTGCTTGGGGTCTGGCTGTGACTTTCTGGCTAGCCATCTGATACTTCTACCCTACTCTTACCGGCTTATGTGTTTTTATGCATACGCTGCAGCTGCTCATAAAGCTGACCTTTACAAATGTATGGTCTGTGATATTTATTTTATGAGAACATAGATACATGAGCCAAACCAGACTACACCTAATAATCCACATTCTAATTTCCTTTACAATATTATCTGTAAGTTGATTGATGGCAAGCGCTATTTGAGCATTGCAAATGGACAAGCTTTTGACCAAATGCTGATATGATAATGTGATAAAAATTATATAARCAATAAAATTACATTTTTTCACTAGATTTTAAAATGGTGAAGCATGCTCCAGAAATGACAGCATGTATATGTATAGACAGCATAACGTGCTTTTTGGATCAGAGCCAGGAGAGTCTTGCACATTTACTGCCAAGCTGATGCTTGGATTCAGCAACATGTCTCTAGCGACTACCTGTAAAGCCTTAAACGACTATAAAACACATTCAGACCTAATCTAACCAGAATCTCCTTGTACAGTCTTCAGGCASATTGTGAGAACAGAGCCAAATCTCGCTGTTTTTCTTTAGGGCACTTTGGGAATGCACTTCCTCAGGAGGAAATAAAATATTCTGCATTTTATGCATAAAAAAGGACCAGAAATGGGTCCAGTATCTAGAGCACTGTATCCAGCTACCCCCGCATGATTTTGTGGGCACGCAAGTTATAGCAACACACATAACATSGAGCATTTTTCGCTGCCAGGGCTCGATGGAGCTGGCAGTGGGCGCCTGCTCCGTAGGGGTGTCAGCCCTTTGCCGACGCGGCGCTAGCAGGTAGTGCGGAGCAGATGTCAGGGATGCGTGTCCGTAAAATAAACACCGGTGCCTGCRTTTGCCTGCTGAGTCATCCAACCTAAGAGCTGAAGTTTTAAACACAGACCTCCACAGTCCTGCTTTTGGGAGGAGAGATTCCTCTGGGTGTGTGTGCGTGCTGGGAAAACCTTAAAATAATGCTGTGTTTGTGCAACGTCTTTAAGAGGATGGAAATGCATGTTTTTGCTATGGATTTGAAATTGGTTGGGAACAACGCATGGAATAGCGCAGTGGAGACATCTGTCACAAGACCTTGGAAGGTTAATTGCTCTCTGGGAAACAGTGTCAGTCCCAGAAGTCAAAATTATTACTCGGGAAAATTTCTATGACTCAGACAAGTGGAGAGGAAAAAAATAAATACTGATGAATTAACTGAAGCCACTAATTACATGCTTACGTAAGAGAAGGGGGAAAGAAAAAGCATAAATGAAAAAAATCCCCCAAAACAGCCAACTAGCTCTTGTTTGATATTTGCTAAGTATCCAGAAGATTTCATGGGCAAAAAGATGGAGTGAGTTCAACAAAAATAATCTGCCAGAGGATTTGAGCAGCTTGCCTCTAAACCTCCTAAACTAACAAGGATTCTCATCTTGGCTTGTTTCATTGGGAAACTGAGAGGAGATTTGTGTCAAGATAAGGTTATATTAAGCCAGAGAAATATTTGTTCACATGCTATTATTTTTGCTCCACAGCAAAATTAACAAGATTTAATTAAAAGTTTGCATAAATTGTTTCCCATGTTAAAGCAAAACCAGGGAAAATGTAGGTGATGCAGCTGAGTAAGCATTTTTAAAATAGATATCTTGTTGCAGTAAAATTGAATGGAGAAATATGTATCAATGAAATATGCAAAACTACAAACTAGAGCTAATTAAATAAAAGTTGTAATCATGCCAGTGTTTTTTTTTTTTTTTTTTGGTTTGATTTGGTTTTTGGGTTTTTTTTTTGCATTTGATACTTACTTACTAAACTGAGAAAATAAGTTGGAGCAATTATTTTTCTGAATACCACATCCGTTGAGATCTTAAAACAAGTAGATCTCAGGATCGCACCTCATTTTAGAACAGAAAAACATCGTTTTTTTCCTTCTTTTCAACTGCCAGCTGTGTTCTCCATGTCAAGTGAACCAGATATTGAGCTAAAGTAAATTATAATGAAGACCACACTCTAAATTTACGTGGTATTACTAGACAATATCAGTCTCTTAATTCACCTACAGCTTAATTTTAGTTCTAGATGCTCACTGCAATATCCTACAGACCAGTACTCTTGAAAAATCTGTCACCTATCACACATTCTATGAYGATTTTAATGTAAATGATCGCAATTGTAATTGAATAGTTTTAATTTACAATTTACTATAAACCATCATAAAATAAAATTGTTTTCTATAAATATCTATCTTTGTAATTGAAATTAAAGATMCTAATTCTAATAAATAAATAGATAAATAAATGAGCAAATTGAAGTTAAGAAACACATAAAATACCATCTCTTCCTCTTTTCCAAGAGACACAAGGTGGCCAGATGAAATCTGTTGGAGGAACACCATATTAAACTGTGGACCCTCATACTGGATGATAGAATATCATCCATGGTAAAGTCAAATTTTAATTTTCTTCAAGGATTTCTTATGTGGAAAAAAAAATCTGTGGACATTAATACCACACAAAAATGCCTCAACTAAGTTTATGCTATTCCACTGTTGCTCTTTAAATTCACATCCTTCCTACTTTATATTGACTGCCCTGCAAGTGTCCTGTGTGGACAACATGTTAAGGAGAATTYGCTCTTTCTTAATAAGGTCAGAACTGGAGCGAATGGTGTGTGAGAGGCAGAGCTCATGTCTCTGGGCTATCCAGTGGTGTTTGGTTTGAGTAGACCTTCTGTAGCTTCTGTATTCCCAAAGCCTTCAGGAGGTTAAAAGTACCAGGGACAATTTTAGTCTCTTTGTTTAGGAAACAAAATATATACTGTTGGTTAAAACTGGAAATTTGTCTTAAAAAACTGGTACAACTCCATCCTTCAGTGAAGGCAGTAAGATCTGGCTGCTAGGCTTTAGGAACTGAAGGATCTACTTCATTTTGAAGAACTCAAGGGATATGAAGATGAGAGAGACAGTACCAAATATCGTAAACTATGTGTGGCTCAACACTGTGCCCCCACCTTTYGATCCAAGGTGATTCACCAATATGAGCTGAAAAGACACATCTACCACAGCAGATTGGGAGTTGCACTGTGGGCAATGTTTCCTCATGCTTCAGGTGTGATATCAGTCAGGACACTTAACCTCTTCTAGTCACATGTGGAAAAGCAAAGCTATTCTAAACCTGTATTTTGGCATAGGAGCTAATAAGTATAAGAAATAATTGCAAAGAAAATATTTTTATGTTTAAAGACTAAACATTTTAGCGTCTAACAGTCTAAATGACTCCATTGATCCCCTTCAGTTTTTACAAAAATACTCAGTTTTTCAGATGTAATCTCTGTTTACAATGGCAGTGTTTGAAGTCCTGAACACTTTGCCCTTGGGTGAGACTGTGACATTGTGTATATCCCTTTAAAAGTAGCTATATTTAATGAGCATGTGTGAGGTGAGAACTGCGGCAAAGGATCTAAGCGATGATGGGCCAGCCAAAACATAGTCCTGTCCAAAACGGGATTAACTAAGATTTACTGTAACGCTTGGCCCTAATGAATGACARGGAACAAGGTAGGGAAAGGAGCACTGCTCCAAGCGGGCGAGCTCTGCCGAGTGCCCTGTTTGCTTTGCAGAGCTCTACCTGCTCCGGATAGAGCACCCTGGGTGGTTACGGATGGCAGCCGAGCACAGTCGGTCTTTATATCCTCCTTCCAAACAGTTTACCAACAGCGCGACGCCAAGCTGACAGCTGCCTGGACCCAACATCTGAGGGGAACGTGTGGCACGTGCCTGGGAGAAACCTCCTAGCGCTCCTGAGGGACTTGGTGGGGATGCAGAGGGAGTGTGGTCAGGCAGGCTGTGAGCGCTGTGCCCGCTGCTTCTGCAAGGGGACCTGCAGCAAATTCATCTTGGCATCCTTGCATTAATGCAGAATCAGCCAGGCAGAATTCAGGGTCTGACTATTTTTTTGAGTCTACTATCCTCCCTCACCCCCCCATAATAGCACAACAGAACTGCAGGTATAATTACACTATTCAGGTTTGTAATAATTTCTTTTTGTTGCCAGTTAGACCTTTCTATCAGAATCTGGCATTATATTGAAATCACAAAAAGCCATAGGAAGAAAAAATAATGCCTCTATATAAATATCAACACTTGACTCTTTACTGGGACCTTATATAGAAACTCTTTCAGAAGAATAGGACCTTTCTATGACACATGGTATTTCAATAAGTAATAAACTATGGTGATCACTGTGTTGTTTGCCACAGCAAATAATGTTAAGCAATAATGCTTAAACACAGGCCTAAACAGTTTGCTCCAGAAATTCTGAATTAGTCCAGTGAATGCCARTTTTTACCACTAAGAAAGGTTCTAATCTTAATTCATAATTCTTATTGAGCTATCCTGAACATTTGGCAGTACACTGAGTTAATTAGTCATGCAATGTTACTTCTGAATGCAGGAGGTTTATCACATGCCCAGTATTTTGCTTAGAGCTCTCTGTGTCAGGTTCTTCCTTGTTCTGAAGGTATTCAGAATATTGACCTTCTAGCTATGGTCTAGGTATCATCTTCTTCAAATTCTTATTACCCCTTGTAAAAGATACATATTTCATCATGGTGCATGCAGGTCTGTACGTGTCTGCAACTTACCTGTCCTGGTTGTTCACAGGCTGTTTGGTATCTTGCTTGCTGGCATAATTCCTTTACTCTCTCATATTTTGGTAGCTGATTAGATTGCTGAGTGTTTTTGTTGGTTTCCTCCTTCTTGCGTAGAAATTTACTTTAAAAAAATAAAGTTGASTATTTTATATACATTCTTCTAAATTATGGAGGTGTTGACTTTAACTTCAAAAGCAAAGCTACTTGAAGATTTAATGTCTTGTAGAGAAAAAAATCCCCTAGTTTCTACTAGGGAACTTTAATGACAGAAGTTCATGCAGTGAAGGAAAGATTCGGCCAATATGCTGGAAATTACCCAAAGAGAAAAAAGGACTACTGAAAAAAAAATCTACTTGGCGGAGTTCAGTACCATTCACATTAAGTGCATGTTCTTTCAGAATACAAGGTGTCCTGAAGCAGTAACAGCCATGCTGAAAAACCCAGCAGAAGAGACTACAGGGCTTCTACTCCAATTTAGCACTGAAGTGGCTAGACAAAGTATTTCACGATGTGTCTTATTATTTTGTAGCATGATATAACTTCTACAGATTATGGAAATCTTGTGTAAGAGGGAAACTGCTGAAAAATTTTTACCCAGAAAAGATTTTTCACTGTTATAATTGGCAGGATGAGAGAAACTAAAGTGGTATAATAGAAAAGAAGAGCAGCTACAATCATAAATCTCATTTATATACAAGCCTTTTCTTAGCTAGAACAAAATTGAAGAATGCCTCCCAACTGAGTTAGAAAATACAAAACCAATTGGTAAGAGAATATTGCACAGTTGGTTTTGAAATAGCGCAATAGAATTGGAAAGAAAATAAGAGAGATGATGACATGAGTGGTCACAAGTAAATGTTAGAGAAGCAGGAGATATAGGCTAGAAAAGCTGCCAGAAAAGCCTGCTTTCAAATTTCTTCTGAGGGASGAATCTGGAAGGATAGCAACTCACATAGCCAGTGGTGGGAAAGTAGGAAGTGAGTCAGGCTTGTAAGTTGGTTCTCAAAATTTACAATTTCATTGACTGATAAAAGAAAGAGGAGAGAGCAGAAAGGAAAGCATGCACAAAAGTGTTCCCAGTAGGCAGGTTCTCCCCAGACTTTCTCACCACTAATAATTACCCTCTTTCCACCAGAAATGTGTCACGCCAAATTTTAGTCTTCTTGTTTGTTCGAAACCTAAGAGCAAAATAATAATATTTACTGTTGGTGCCTATGTTTAACAATGCCAATAATTTTTAAAAATCTCCCCTCTACTTACATATACCTGTTATTTTGCAGATGTGCTATATAAGACAGCCTTCAAAGTAAAAGCTGTGATCGTTGGTCTGACATAGCTCATTTTCGTAGACTTTTTTTTTTTTTTTTCACTTTGTTTTTTATTTACTCAGGTTTGCTTCTGAACTGGCTAAAAAAAAAAAAAGAAAAAAAAGAGCCGTGACCCACCTGTTTCCTGGCCTCTCTAGGTCCAGAAGTTTTAGGACAGATTTGCCATCCATGTCTGGAGGCGTGTCAAGTCCTGCAATATCCAGAATTGTTGGAGCAAGGTCAATATTCAGAACTATCTGAGGCACTCTGCAAATCAACAGAAAAGGTCATAGTTGTATTGCATGCTCGACATTCTCTTGGAATGGTAATTAATGTTTATAAGAGCTTTGAAGATGTAAAGCTCTACAGAAGGGCTAAGTCTGGAGATTCTCCTTTGAGAATGGCAGGCSTGACTGCAGAATACCACCACCACAGAAAGGTTAAGCACAATAAAACCAGGTGGTTCAGCAGTTGCACTGCTCTTTTCACATCGTCCATGAGGGCATGAAGCCATCCATTCTGCTAAACCAGAAGGTGAGCAGTAAAGATGGTCACCTGCAAAGCCCGAAGCCTATCCATAAGGGCTGCATATTATGCATTTTTTTCATCTACATTAAAACTTATTAACAGTACATTAAGTGAAAGATATGCCTTTTTTAAAGTGTCATTATTCTGCAATAATAGGGCATTCTTTATGAAACGAAGCTCTACAATGGCAACTACATGAGCTTAGGAACATTTTGCGTTAGGTTCAACAGCTGTGAACACAAGGGAACGTACACTGATCCCGGCTCTACACTTGGACCACGAATAAAGAAAGGAACTCGAATATCAAAGTCATATGGCATTGACTTCCCCTTGACCAGTCCAAACTGCCCAATATGGTAACCATGGTCAGCAGTGTAAATTATGTAGGTATTCTCCAGTTCTCCCGTCTCCACAAGCATTTGGTATAACTGAAACACAGCACAGGAAAAACTCTGAATTAAAGGTAGAAAAACATGTTTTRTACATAATTATGTGTAACTATCATTTTACTGCCGTAGGTACACAGAACCAAACATGACATCGATGAAGTTATAGAAGAAGCCGTTCTGGAGATAGACATTTTTACATAGTGATAGACATTTTTGCAAAGCCTGTTTGGCTAAAATCTTCAACCTACAAATTCAATTTACATTTGATAGAGTGATATTTGCTTTGGGGAAGGAGAGAGGGTCCATAAAATTATGGTACTACAAGTGTAGTTGCATTAGTATGTCTAAAAGTTGGTGTAAACTCAACTATAGCTTGCAAAAAAAAATAAAGTTAGAACTTTAGAGTAAATGGTACTCAGATCTGATTTACTGTGTTAGTCAATAGCTTTCTCATTTCCTACTATTGTGGGCTTGCGAAACAGTTGTAAATTTTTTTGAAGTTTAAAGAAATCTCTCTAGGGGAAGATCTTTGCTCATGGAGCTTGATTTTTGAACAAAAAGTCAGGCAAACTACACCTAATAATTCATGTGTCATGTTACCTATAATTAGCTGTACATTGCTTCATCTAACTCCTGCAGACACTRGCAGACAGACACCTGAATTTTTGGTCAGTGTTACTGTGATTTGCCCGTACTCAACTTTCAGCTGAAAGATGAACTGTGAAGGGAGTGGGGGAAACGAATAGGAGTGGGCACATGTGCCCCTGTATGCATCCATGTGTAGAAACAGGTGATGCATCTTCTTTTAACTCAGGATTTATATTAGGCCCAATGATACCACCCCCTTTAAAAAAAAGCAAAAAACAACAACAACAACAACAACAACAACAACAACAACAAAAAGTAGTTTTAAAAAGAACAGCTTATTCACCCACCAATTGAGCAACAAGCTTTGAAAAAAAACTACAATAAGCTTGGCACAACATTACAGAGAACTGGTGTGTACGGGGCTACCTGGAGTAACTCATCATAGTCAGGGACATTCCTCAGGCTGAGCTTGGTGAAGGCAAGGAAAATAATGTATTTCTCAATACATTAGTTTCGCTACAGACCAATAAGAACATATTCACAGTAGATACTTGAACCTACTCTTTCCATAGAGTCATCAACTGACATCAGGGTCTGAAGTCTTTTGCGTTGCAAGACATTGGTAAACTCCATGTGGATAGGCAGCATGGGCCCGGTGTACTGCATGATCCAGTGCTTATCCATATTCGGTGCATAATTATAGCTGGGGGTGCTGGAAAGAAAAGAAAGAATATGAGAAATTGTGCAGCATCACAGGCATTGGAAGAACATAGAAATTATTCCAATAATCAATTAAAGCGCATATTTCATGTAATATCTGGTGTTGCTAGGGCAAAATATCAATAAACTTCACTTCAATGGCTTCCAAACTTCATCGGTTCATTCAAAACTTCTTCAACCCACCTGTTTTTTTCGCTTTCCTTCAGGCTCAAAGACCACTGCCAAATCCATGCTATTATTTGGAATATGACAAAATATATTCCTTAAAAGAATTTGTAATCATAAAACATGTTTATCTGAGATGGACAAAAACTCTAATCACGTCATAAAATAGTTCATAAACATAACTCAAAAATAACAGAAACTGGAGATCGAAGATGGTTACTTCCATTTAGAATTTATGTGATTTGGCCTGATTTTTCCAGTAGGAATGATATGCCTATATAAACATAAGTAGAATGAGATTCATAAGAAAGACATTTGCCCGTGGGTTAAAGAAGTGTAGCAGTCAGTACTAAGGTAAGAACAGCTCCAGTTAACAGTTTTTAGGATGCCCCAAAGAGTGAAAGCAATGATTTGTTTTTCCTTCATGGTCTCCAAARCCAAAAACAAGCATTGTCAAGATCCCGAGTGCAACCTAAATCCTGGTATTCTTTTCTTATGTGAGTATATAACACAACGTATTACCAGCATGACATGACCTGTGTCATCACGGTGGAACTAATACTGCTGCCAGTACTAGCACAAAGGAGGAGCACGGCAGAGTCCTGCTGAATCGGAGAACAGCTTTCTTGTTAAAAATGTGACAAACATCAAAGGAAAAACAGAAGATTTAAAGGTGTTCTAACCAGGACTTATGAATTTTAAATGGATATAAGAAACAAGAATACCTGCCCAGATATACCACCTCTGAAGGAAAAGCACTGCAAGAAGTTTGCATGTAAATTTACCATAGTCATGTATATGACACAAAAGCTCTCCATTAATCCATTTTTATACCTGTATGCATGACAACTAAAAGGTGAAGAGAAATGGAACAAAATTTATATCTTGCTATTGCTTCAACAATGTAAGACCACTTTCCTTTCCTACCATTTGCAGAATCTGATTATAATTATAATAAACTAAAGGGACTCTGCAATTTAGCTGGAGAACATTATTGAAAATTTAAATAGCATTTGAAAAACACCTCTCCAGGACATACAACTTGCTCTGTCTAATATGCTTAACCACAAGTATTAAGGGAAACTGAGATGATATCACAGGATTTTTCAACATTTTCATTGTGTGCAGGGACAGAAAATTTAGGTCCCTACTAAGTAAAGACAAATTTAAAGTAGAATTCCTTTTCTGCAGAAAATTCTTCTATTTCAGTGTGCAAAGGTAATTTTTTGACATTTCCTCTGGTAGAAGAAGTCTGATTTTTTAAAAAAGCAATCTCCACATTGTGCCAAATTTAATGAAGCCAAGCTCAGGAGCACAAACCCCCAAGGTTCTTGGCTATCCACCTGCCCTGGCACATGAAAGATCTGGAAGAAGTAGATCTTGAGAGTTTGGTCTTCTGTTAGGTATTAGATAGGCATTTGGAAATCACAGAAACTTCCAATGAAAATCTTCCCCTGGTTCTTCAGATGTTAGTCAACGTGAAAGGAAGACGCTTTGATATGAAAGGAGGACGTTTTGATGTTTTCCAGCAAAACGCTGTCTCCTCCCTGCTCTGGCGTCCCCCCACCAGCCACCTCCTGCTTGCCCTGGCTGCAGAGTGACGAGGTGCCTGTGAGCCCCGCTCGGGCGGCAGCGCGGTGACAGCGGCGGCGGTGCCAGCAAGGAGAGCCAGCTGCTGAAACAGTCGCAGCTCTCATGTTCCCAGGCCGCTGTCAGGAGCCTCCTCCACATAATAGATAGGCTCTAAAAGCAGCACTCAGGGCTCTAGCGGCGCAGCTAAAACCTTTCACAGACACTTTCCAAATGCATTTTGAATTTTGGGGTGAGAAATGCAGTAGCTAGAGAGCGAGCAGAATTTTCCTCCCTGACAATTCAAAGGACAATACTTTTTCTGAAATGTCTAATGTGAAAGAGGAAGAGAACTAAATGGAGAAGAAAGAGTAGTAGGGAAGAAAAGGAGAGATTCGAAAGCCCCATGACATGCCTGTGATCCCTCTGTATCCTTGTTTGAGTTCGTCACATAAAATTTTGAGTTTGAGGAACTCAGACTCCTTTTGAGTTCCTCGCAGTATGGCCCTGCTTGCCAGGCACAAAGCTCCAGGAGGTAGATGTGACATTGCCTTCAAATCTACCTATTTTACACTATTATTATTTTATTTTTTTTATATATATATATATGTATATACACATGGGAATAACATTGCTGATATCTTAGCATCTTTCCAAAACGAAAGATGTCTTCCATGTCAGTGATAACTTGTTACTAAAACACTTTTGTCTTGGAGCAGTTGGAGATATATCAAGTAAATGTTCAGCATTATAAGACTTTGAAAGTAAGTACAGAATCATCTGTCACTGATCCTACTCCTAAATTTTGGGGAGAAGCTTTTGCTTTGTAGTAAAATGTATTGTTGTAAAGAATTTTAGATATTCACATTTCTATGATTCCTCTGACCATCGCAAATATTGGTTTGAAGAGATGTCTTCTATCTTCTATCTCTTCATCTCTGTCACAGAATCTAGCTTGACTATAGCATAATTTGTGATTCATGATTAGCAGAGAGTATCAGCTTTAATTCAAAAATATTATTTTTAGATTATTTATTTTTAAACACTTTATATAATTACTTTTAAATACTTAACACTTATTTTTAAATGCTTTAATTATTTTCACTTGCCCATGGCCCCCAAATCTGACAAGGAGTTACAGCTCCCTTGTTCATTGGTCTTTACTCGGTCTTTCATGCCAGTTGGTCAGCAAATAGCTAAGCACTTGAACTTCCGAATGTGTGTCTGGAAACTGAGCAAGGGTTCATTTTATATTTTACAAAAGCAGACAACATGAGAAAATACTCTCCTTGATTTAAGTAGGTTCACAAWTATCAGTAATGTGGAGACTAATGTGTTTAAAATCTGTGGAGAAGACAAGGACAGAAGCAATAAATGATTACTTCATTGAGAAGCTATACTGTTGGTCATTCATGTAGGCTATAGTTGTTTGGACAAATTTGGACCCCTCAGTTGTTCACTTATATTTGTCCATAACATAATAGGCAGAACATGGTGTGTGAAGATGCCATGTTAGATCTGCTCTGGCATCGTGTAGGACATTAAAAAATGTCAGATTCATAAAATTTCAAATTGATTTCCCAGATTAACCAACAAAAAATCCCCCAGTTGAACCCAGTCAGGTATTTTCTCATAACTGCTTTCTCTGAAAGAGGAAAAAAAATCACCATAAGATCTTRTAAGCATTTATCCAGTGAATAAATTTACACACCAATCATTCCATGTGTACATTTGCAAAACCAAGATGCTAAATTAGCCTTGTCTATACTTCAATTACAATTTCCTTAGGAAAAGGATGATTTGAGTTCTGTTAGCACTTAATGTCTTTACATAATTGTATATTGTTTTATTAGCACTACATCATGGAAACTGAATTCATTGTCTATTTACCACCCATTAGACTGTAAGAGACAAGCATAGAATGGTGATAACCAAGTGCTCCATAGGTTATGGGAGGAGAAAATATTTTATAAGCAGAGGTGCATTTTTCTATTAAAAAATTAGCATGAAACCTTTTGTTAATTTATCTCTAAATATCAATTTAAATATCTACTTAAAATTATGKTTTTTTTTTTTWAATTTATATAGGAGAGGAATTTTACTGGCATTCAGCTTTGTGGCCTGAATCTAAAAGGTCTAGGTAACTTTCAGTTACATGAACAATATGCATTTCATATCACACACAATAATTGCTCTGGCCTACAGTGCTTGTATATTTAATTTCGAAGTTCAAAATAAAGTATGCTTCCTATTTAATTTCTAAGACATCTCACTAGGTGTCTAAGTTACAGAWGAAATTTTAAAAAGAGAAACCATTGCTTGTATCTGGGGACATATTAAAATGGGGTCATCAAACTCAGAAATGAATTATACTAAATTCTACTAGTAACTGAATTGCCTTCTGTGTGATATTCAACAAAATAAATGCAATAAAGCTCTTCTTGAAACCATTTTCACAAAAAGRTATACTACAGTTTTAAGAGGAAAATAGGATTCAGCATGGTTACTGCTGTTTACAGAGTTGTGCTATATGCATGAAAAAAATGTGTTTTAAGAGCTCCCTGAAATATTTATTTTCCAGAAGTTTGCCCTAAATCTATTTCCATTAAAAAGGTGTTGATATGGGAAGAAATAAATGCATTTGCAAATATTTGTTAAAGTGTTCATAATAAAAATCTGCATTTGCCTCTGCTTACAGTCTACTGATTCCTCTCTCTTTTTATTCAATAAAGCCTAAAATTATATTCACAAAAATATTGCCTAAAATGTTGACTGTGAATGCTTCCATAGAATTGCCACTGTATTCATCCTAAAAGTGTTTGGGTAATCTTCTATTTTGATTGGGAGTCCTCTAGGTAGTGAAAATAATACAGTAGTTAATTGATCTGGGACCATTTTCCTTTAATAAAAATAAAAGTCAACGATATTTTAAATAATTCCTATGATAAAACTCATTGTGAAAAATCTTTACCAGTACAAAATTGGCACTTATATTGTTATTTAAAATATGTGTAGCAGATATAGCATAAGTAGTGATGTTTCTTCAGAAAAAGAGTAAAGAATAAAAGGAACTGAATTGCTTTTTCCAGGGAAAATAGACTTCCAGGTTTAGACACTGTTGTTGGAAAGCAGGGAGTCCTGGTTTGGGCAAGCTTAAGAGTCAAAGCGAGGCTGATGGTATAGCTGGTATAAAGATGAGGTTGACTTTCCCCATTCCATTTCTGGTTCTACTTYGGTTGTATATTAAAGTGTATTCCTTTAAAGCCAAGACTATTTATATAACTCAGGGTGTGACATATGAAAGTTTGACTCCTGAAGTGTAGCCTAACTGGTATTCTTCAAGATAAAACAGCAAAAAAAAGTTGTTTGTTAAATACATTGCCTTTGCAACTCAGAATTTGTTGCTGCTGTAGAGGTTCCTCTTCTAATGAAAATCTGGTTGTTATATCTTCTATCTGACCCTGTTTCTTATCTTTAAACTTSCACCTCTAATGGTGTATGAGATGCATGATTTTGATCATTTTCCTCTTAGTCACCATGCCAAGTAGATCTTGGGCTGGCAGTGACAAGAAACATAGACATAGCAAGATTTGTGACAGATGCAAACGTATGATCCTCCTCTAATGGGTAAGTGTCCACATTACAGGAAATGCCATCATAACTGGCAGATGCTTGATACTCAGCTTTGGTGGTTCGTGGGCGCCCCAAATGTGCAACTTTTATCTCACATCCCAAAGACCATTTTCCTTTTACCACATTATGTTGGGAACCTTTCTGACCATTTCTAATTGCTTTATCTAAGATATTTATCCTGACAGTAGGACTGCTTCTAGGTAATCATAAAATACAGTTGTCAGTCCTCCTGCCAGCCTGTCTTTTACTCAGTGCAGCAAGAAGTGTTTCAGATTTCCAGTTTTCATGTTCTTCAGTAACCCTGCCTCCTGCTGATATTTGCTTCTAATGTTTGTTTACTTCACAGCTTATAAACAGTTAGGCCTGATTCACAGCTCCCCCAAGACTGTTTCACACTGCAAGGCAWAAAGAAGCTGAAGCGCCAGAGGCCCTAAGCATAACTGAAATTCAAGCTTTAGAGCACCCTTAAAGCCAAAGCTTTCCTGTTCCATTGCATGATGGAGTAAGCTTCACCGTAACAACTGCCTGGGACACCTCCAGCTCCATCTTTTGTGTCAAAAYTTCATATTTAACAATAGCATTTCCAAAGGTCTAGCAACCCCAACAGATGATATTCATTACCAAAACTCTTCCAGCATTAATGTACTGCTTCATTCAGTACATCTTCTCCAGACTCAGTGTCTTTCATAGAAACAAGTGTTGGGCATATCTAGCTGGTATGATTTATTTTCAGAAAAAAAAAAATGTATCACTCATTGTGGTGATAGCCAGGACCAAGTAGCTAAACTTTTGGAAATACTTTTAACTGTCAGAAATAGGAACCAGTCTAGAGAGAGGAGAGATGAGAAGGGTGGGACAGAGCATGGACGTTTAGAGAATGTCTATTGCTTCCAACACAATACAGTTTGTGTTTAGGTTAAACTGGAGCATTTGAGAATTAAGAGGAATCATTAAAATTATTGACTAAACTATGAACACTTTATTGTTTTTTTCTGTCTTTGTGAGCCTTTTTGTGCCTCTCTAGCAGGCTGTCTGTACTGAAGAGGAAAACATTATAGGATAACAATGTAATGTCTTTTCTTTTTCTCTTTGACCAATTTCTCATGAATATTATGGACTATCCTGCTACATCTACTTTAAAATGGGAAAATAAGATACGCAGGCCCTAACATTTGAGATACTGAGGGCAGAATCCTCCTTGAAATGGAATATTTCCTTCGGTAGTGACTCTCCTTGGCACACATGCAAGTGCAATTTTTTTTTTCTAATCAAATTTGATCTTTTTATTGTTGTTTTTTAATTTATACAGTGAGTCTTCCAATCAAATGATAGGCATTTTACCAGCAAAGAACGTGACATAATTTAAGGCTCTGCCTCAGCTGTCCTTTAAAGCAAAACTTCCTCTCGCATGTGGTTGACAGGCTATGTTGATTCTTGTTTTGTAGGTATAACCTTCCAYCTCAGTTTGTAAAGCCAGCAAGCAGCTTTTGACCTGTTTTCCCTTCTTTGTTGGAGGTAGGCGTTACAGTAACATGATATAGCAACTGCATTTTTAAAAACAAAATCCAAGGTCAGATGGCTGTCACCCAAGGTCAGAAAAAGAGATTCAAATGGTGCTTGACCACCAAGGAAGAAAATCTAAGGGTTAAATGTTCAAGTTACACAAACTTTGGCAGAAGGGATTTTATTGTTCTCACACTGTTTTCGCACAGAGCCCCAATATTTCTGTGAGAACATAACTTGTATCTTTCAGGCAGAACATGTTACTAATTTTTTTTGCTAGAGAATCAGTGATTTGGTAGTTTCAGCCGCCCAATTTGGCAGTTTGTCTTCAATTTGCCTCATTTCTTAGTCTTCAGATTGAACTCTAGCCCACGCAGTGAAGTCACTACAACAAGAAACACAAAACAATTTCCCAAGTCCCTCTCCAGGTAGACAGAGAAGAAACTCTTTGCAGGAAAGCTGCCAAGAAACCAGCAACATCAGCAAACTGGAAGAGGCACAGCTGATTTTCATACTCCAGGTTACTAAGTTAATCCTTTGGCGCTGGCAGCGCAAGCTATAAGAAAGGAGGCTAAAAAACCAAGTGTCAGGCTCATGATAAATTGAAGCAAGTTCCTACAGGCGCTGTTCTATCAGAATACAGCTAGCATGGAGCCTAAAATGAGTTATACTGGCCTGGGGAGAGGTAGGGCAAGACATGATGATTCAATGTTTTTCTTCAGACACAGCCCCCATAGCTAAGCTGACACAGTATGAAGCCTACTCTCCTCTCTGATGAATTGTCCCCAGCAAAAAGAAGAGCTTGCCCAAGGCTAGACAATCTGTCCCGTTAAATGATGAACAATCTGTTGACTAGAGACAGAACAAATAGATTAAAACTCTCTTGCTATAGAATGAGGTGATTGAAAGAAGATATGGGAGAGGTCTATYAAATTGATTTCCTTATTTCTCACAGGACAGGAAGGGAAAAACTGGTGATGTAGGCAAGCCATGAGTTTAAAGAAAAGTTAGTGTTCTGAGCACACAGTACAGACTGAAATTGTGAATTTGTTGCCACAGGGCAATGTGACTGCCTATGGCCAAAAGAAATCAGACCGATTCAAAGAAAATGGGACACAACAGCCTAGCTGCTTCACCTTAACCAACGACTTCCAAACGCTGTAAGAGCAGGATGAAAGGAATCTCTCTTGGCTTTTTCTGAAGCATTCTCTGCTGCTTTCTACTGGAGCTTATATCTCAGGGAACTTAGCTAGCAAGATACAGCAACCTAGAATGAGAGCTTCTATGTTAAGTCTACCTAACTTCACTTTTGGCCAAAAATAAGGCAATACCAATTCTTCAGGATGAAGAACACAAGAACCTGTTGCCTATTCAAGCAAATATTTACAAAAATAACAATCCCATCACTGCTGCACAAAGTTAGGAATTATTCCAAATACCTAATAACTATGAAGCATTGATGAGTGGTTTGCATTACTTGCAAAGTCTAGCATCTCAGGAATGTGGGAACATAGAGAACACAAGATAAGAAAGATAGAGTTAAAAAGATAAGGTCAGGGAAAGTAACATGTCTTGAAAGTACCAGCCAAGAGACCAAAAAATTACAGACTAACAAGTATTTAACTATCTGCCATGAAGAGCATATCTCTCACCTCAAATAATGATCAGTTTATGCATGATAGCTGCTATTTGCAATTTTAAGCTAGTTAATATAACTACAAATAATGCACAAATGAGTGTGAGTAAGTGCAAAGTGTCCAAAATGCAATTTGTAGACCACAGAGCCTTTGCAAAGTGTGATAGAGCTGATTTCTTCTAATTTTCAGGGAGAAAATCATTGTAAAATCCAGCTAACATATATGTATTTTTTTCTGTCTGGCAGGAGGCACAAAGGTATTCTGTGGGAAGATTGTCCATATACCCATGATAGACGGCCATCCAAGGTAGAGTGAAAGTTGTAGAACCCAGGGTTATTTTCTACTTTTTACCTGAAGCTGGCCTGAGTTTTCTAGACTACATKACAAATTTCTATTATATCACCAGCAAAGGTTAGCATGTTATTTAAAAATGCATATTGATAGGCTCTTCAGCAAACTGTCAGTATCTAGTCTGTAAACAAATTGGTGCTCTCAAAAGCTACAAAAATGCATTTGCTTAGTTAAAGCTCAGGAAACACATGTCTGAAGGAACATGAAGGAAGTAATATCTTTCTAACAGATCCTGACCTGTAACTACATATTTTCAGGGTATTGTAAGAAGCTGCCCTTACAAAGCCAAATACTGACCTTTTAATCTCCCTCAACTTCCCAGGAGAAAAAAGAGCTTCTCTCCGCTTTAATAATGGTAAAGCCTGTCACTCTCCTTTCCAAAAGGAACAAGCACAGCAAAACATACAAGCAAAAATTCACCACTCCGTATGGGCTTCTTGTATTGGAATTCTCTGTTCTTTTAATCCCTCTGCAAGCAAATACCTCACAAAAAGCAAATATAAGGAGCTGTTTTGGCAGCGCCTGGTTTTCACTTACATATGCTGCGAAGCATTGGGATAGAGCTCGGAAAACTGTGGCGCAGAATCCTCTGGGCCGTGGGGAGCAGCATGGCTGATGACCATCATTATGGGCCTATGGGGATATATCCTCTTAGACGTTCTGAAGTAATTAATGCTCTCGTTAGTGATTAGGTCTGTGAAGTAGTCCTGTAACATACATTTAACACAAAGCAAAAGTTACAAAGCGCATGATTAATTAGATCACATAACTATCATGTTATTACGTTATTTTCAAGTCCTCATTAAAGCCTAGACCAGGAAGTAAAAGCAAACCATCAAAGGGACATACAAGCCTAAAGAGCACAGAGGAGACTGGGCAGTAATTACTTTCTTAAGTAGACAAGATCACATAAAATGAAAAGACATTTTGTAAAATATAGCAGATTGTATTAAATAAATACAATTGCCATATTTCACACTATAATATTAAGCAGCAGTTGAAATGATGGATTGTACTGACACAATATCCCTCTTAAATTTCATTGATAAAACACTTTCATCAAGTAATGCCTCCTAAGTGCAAGAAATAATTCACTCTTAGGATAGCTTTCCATTCACATTTCCACTAATTCTGTGGGTTTTTTTGCTCCAGTAATATTCTTATTTTTAGATAAAGTGGGTGAAATCTACAATCAATGTATTACAGAAATCTTTACTGGAGAAATGGCAAACACAAATACAGGGAGCAGTCAAATTCCTGCAGGCTCTGCTCTTTTAATGGGACAACTTTAAACAGGGCAGCTGCTGAGATTAAGGTTGTGACTTGCTAATAAACCAGCTTAACCCACAGCCAAGGTGGCAAATGGAAGCCTATGAGGGGAAGGGAGGAAATAGAACTCAGGAAAAAAAAAAAAAAGATGAAAACTTAAATTAAACCACCTGCCACCTCTAAGCATTCACTGTTGGCCTGGAGGTCTGCTGTGAGCTTCATTGAGAAAGCGCTGAGACGATGTTTGCAATTTCAAGCACTTCGAGGCATGACTAATCACATGTTGTGGATCCACGGCCTTGAACAGCTGCACAAGCAGAGCCTGAGGGACAAGGTCTGCGTGGCGCGGCGGTGCGGGGACCAGCCGGCCAGCTGTGACCTTCTCGCTCCCCCGGCCCTCGTCCGTGCTGCCCCTGGAGCAAGCGCCGTGGCCTGGCTGTTCAAACCTCCGCGACGATGCGGAAGAGGCAGCGAGCGGCCCTTGGGGCTGCAGAAGCAGTTTTGGTCGCAAGGCATTAGGGTTCTGATAATTTCGGGTTTTGTGGCCTGGAGGACTGCTCTCTCAAAGCATCCGTTTCACTCGTATTTCCCTGTTTACTCTTACTCCATAGGCAGGATGGGTAAGGAATGTATAACTAACCAATATGCTTTCTTTTCTCTCTCTCTCTCTTTTTTTTTTTTTTAACTCTGTATAAATATGTAGTCAGTACCGTGCAGCATCGTGTAATTTCTATGGGTGGGGAAATCAGAAACAGGCACTGTGAGCTTCCAATAAAATCTCATTACATGGGTCAGAAACCACAGCTGCAACATCTGTATCATCTTCTGTGAGCTGCATTCTGACAAAATTCCAGATTGCTTTTTGCAGGCTGGAAAGCCTCGATCTRTGTTTCTGAGAAACTTCATGGCAGTGGGCAGGTCACCTTGGCATACTTTCCAAATTTTGTCAGGAGCACAAACACGCTCTGAAGTTTTCCAACAGCCATATTCTTGCACTTATCTATTCTCATAGTCATATCCGGAGTCTTACACCACAGACACACATTTTTTTTGCACTGTATAATGGAAAACAGCATTAACAAACTAAGATTTCTTGTGCGGGTAATAACTGACAACACTCAGCTAACATCCAGTAGCACAAGGCACCCAGTTATTYTCAAGGAAGGCTTTTATTTATTATTTGCTTCTTCCATGGAAGCAACAGTTTCCAGTTAGAGAGAAAGAAGAAAGAGCAGACCACAMTGAAGAACCCTTGGAAAATTATTTGTATCCCACGGTTAAAATTCTCACACAGAAGTCGACCTGAAAAGCCCTGAAGAGAAAATGACATCTCTATTTCTTGGTTGAGGCTGGCTAATTAATTAATTATCTGGTTAATCAATTATCTGAACGTGATTTTCATACAGATGAATGACGTAGCATTTATGTGTCTAGAAAAATACCTTTGCATAATCAAATCCATGCTTCTCTTTGTTACCATTGCGAGAAATGGTGTAATTATAGAAGCGGGAGTTCTTCACTAATCCAACCCACTCTCTCCACCCAGGAGGGATGTAGCTGCCATTGTATTCATTGAGGTACTTCCCAAAAAAAGCTGCAAAGATAAAAAAAAAAAAAAAAAAGAACACACACAGACATGAGGCTTTGCAATTGGAATTCTTTTAGTTTAAGTAAAAAGCATGTGTGAATGGAGGTAAAATTATATGTTAAGAATGCGTTGGAGTTGCTTTATCAAGAAAATTCTTTTTATGCCTATTAACATAGGTGATTTCCAGAGTTATTATTAGAATTGAAAGCCTTCAGTTTACATAATCTGCAGTTTTTGGAGACAAATGGTCACACAAGGTTTTTCATGGTTTCTCCTTAACAATGGAATAAAACTCAACCTCCAGAGGAAACCTCCAAGGAATATCTGTTGTCGTTTTAGGCAAATCTCATGATATTTCAAAGCTTGGCCTCTGACTTTTGGAAATTTGGGYTTGGCAACATGGCTACATTTCCTGGTTTGATAACCAGCCTGGGAACTCTGTATGTCCATCCTGCTGGGCCTCATTTGGGAAGATAAGGAGGGAATCCCTGCCCTGCTCCATTACCACAGCTTCTCTAAGGCAAAGCTAAAGAAAAAATCAAAGACTTGAGGGTAAAACACCTCTCTTTGGTTTAAAAAATAAGTGGATTTTTTGGCTATCTCTGGCTGACAAATCAGATCCCATTCAGACTGAAATTTTCAGTATTGGCCACCAGGCCTAAGAGTGTCTGCAGGTACTCCTGCTACCTCTCCTGGAAGGAAGTAGAAAGAGATGTATCTAACCCCACACTGCAGAAAGCCGTGGATTACTCATGCCGGAGTCACACAGACACCAAAGCYGTCCAGCTGGCGGCAGATGGGCGGATTAGCGCTGCAAACGCAGCTGTAGAGCTTCTAGAGCCAGCTGGGCTGGAGAAGCTGTTTAGTTGCTTATGTGTAGCTTTGGCCTCGGTAATAAAGTCAGTCTGGATGTCTCAGGGCTGCATTTCCACTTCTTGGATACTGGGAAATGTGGTGATAAAACACCTGCCCAGGTCTGCAACTTGGGTTATTGGGGTGTTCTTAAATCTGGCTCAGATGCAGTAATGCTGGAGATTTGGGTGTCTGAGTTCTGTTTGATTTTTTTGAGGAGGAGTTACAAGCCCCTGGAAAGTCACCAGTACCAGTTTTTGTGACCTATGTCCCAAGCAGTCAGAACAAAGCATTGCCGGTATTGGCAAAGTAAGACACTGTAGGAGAGGAGCAAGTAGCAGAGAGATCCCTCCGCAGGGATAAGCATCCCTGCCAAGCACTCCCCGGACCACCCGCTTCTCCTGCATCGCCCTCCCCTGCCTTTGTCAGCGCTCCCTGCATCCCAGGCGACCTCCCAGTCTCAGCTGCTCTCCAGGACCCACGTCAAACAACCTTACTTGCTTCCGACTCGGAAATGAAGTCACTTTGGAAAACCTCACATTTGACCCAGACACATACTGTCTAACCAAAAAAGAACATTTGTGGAAGGGCTTAAATACTTTGGATCTGACTGATGTGGGTATGGGGAACTCCTTCCTGGGAAAACTGGTGGAAAAACCAAAATGTTCATAGTTTGAACTTGCTTGAGGCAACATAAATATGGTGCAATCCATCCATCTAACTGCAAAGTGTCACTACCCAGAGGTTACAGTCATATATAATGTTACTTTCCTTTACCACGTAGAATGTAATTTATAAACAAGTCCTACAGACACTAGGCAAGACTTTCAGCTCTTCCTTCCGCATTCACTAAGAAAGAAACTTGGTTCCTCTCCTCTTTTTCCTGATGCCAAGTGGAAGTCAATGAGCTTGAGATGAAGAAGGTGACCATGGGGAGGGACCATATGCCCAGCATGGCTGCCTTATGGAGAGGAAACTCACCTCTGGTGAGAGAAATCTCACCTCTGTAAGGCAGCCAAAGCATGTGAAACTCTCAGAGTATCAGATGTGCAAGAAAAGTATAAGGGTAAAGGCTGAAATACTGTGGTAACAGAAGCTGTAGAACGGAAAGGCAGGAAAGGCAGAAGAAGTCAGTGAGGTATGGGAAARCAATATGGCCAAGAAAGCATAGCTGAGTCGAGCAAATACAGGGCTGTCCTTCCGTTGTGGGGAAGATCTGACRTCAGGTCTGCTGAAGGCCACCCCAGGTCCACCAGTAACTACTGTGTGACCTTGGGGAACCTCCATTTGCTCCTGTAAAGGATTCAAGTGCCAACATGCCACCGCCAATGATCACAGAATCGCAAGCTCTAAAATAGAAGTTATGGCGATTTATCACGTAAATTGGTTTGATAGCCCCACCTATAATTAGATTGACTAATGCTGAGACCTGAAGTCTGCCATTTATAGATTTGCCAAACTTACAGCATTAGTGATGATACTTTCCATGATGAGTATGTGACTCAGGCTGAATTTTGCACTATGGAACATTTTAGCCAAACGGTTCAGCAATTTCCAAGAAAAGGGCTAGGGAAAAATAAATGGATTTGCCCATTTAAAAAATCATTGGCAAGCTTCTCCATAAGAAGCCCTAGTGTCTCTGGGTTTTGATGCAGTGCCTCTGTAAATAACAGAGGTGGCTGTGTAAATCCACCCCAAAATGGCCAAGCTATAAACCTCAGAAAAACTGCAGTACACAGATGCTCAGGAAAGACTTGCTAAGCTTTTCAGTTTAATGCCACCATAGGGTGTTATTTTATGGGCCTGACAAAGTCCTTACAATTTCGATTTTGGCAATAAAATAAAGAGCAATCAGTCTCTCTGTATGCTGCTCCTCTGCTGATATTCTGGCATTACCTGAGAGAAAACTTGCAGAATAAAACACAGAGATGAAAAGACCTGGAGCGTAGGGACAGAAAGAGATAAACTAAATTTAAAAAGAGGAAAGGGARGCTTGGAGTTGGTGGGGGCCAATTCATTCTGGAATTTCCTTGCTGTAGATTACCCAATTTTGCAACTTTAATAATGTTTTCTTAGCTCCCCCTTACTCCCATATTTTGGTGCATTATTAGAATTTGGATTGACAGCCTGAACCATTCACCTTTGTGCTGGCAATGATTTAGTGTTTTATCATCAATATAATCTCAGAACTGTCAAGTTTTAAGCAGCTCCTTGAGTGACGTTTTGCAGAAATAGATGTTTCACCCTGTTGTGGATTGAAATCATTCCCATGTCAAAGGTACAGTAACTCCCCAATTCCTCAGAGAGGCTGTAGTAGCYTTGATAGTGGGTCATGTTTGCAAGATTGCTTTAATGAAAGGTGGTTTRTTGGTCAAAAGCTCAGGTGGATGATAGAAATAAACATAGGAAGGGAAAAGCCAGGCTTTTACTAAAACAGAGGACTTTACCGTAGCTTTTTCTGAGCGTTGGGTGTGGGATGGGGCAAGGGAATCAGAGCTGGAGCATAGTGCCAGCATTTGCTTCCTCACCCTCTGTGTGAGGACAAGTGCTAGAGTCAAAAGAAAGCACAGTAGTGCCCACAGGGTAAAATTCCAGTCAGCAAGTCAGCACTGTGTGTCTTCTATATGTTTTTTACTAGCCAAAGGATTGTAAATAATTAAAGTAATATGGTATATGTCACAGAACTGCCCAGGAACTGACACCATAACGTGCAAATGTTTTCCCTGGACCCTCACGTACTTGGCTCATAGAGTCAACCCACATCCTCAACTTGGCTTTGGCTTGATGCTTGCTGAATTGCCCACGTATCAGCACTGTTTGAGTGAGATATAGCCCCTGGCAGGATGCAAGTGACTTTAGAAGCCACTTGTACTGAGCAGTTACGGGGTTTAGGAAGCCATTTCTGTTCGTAATTAATAAAACAGAGATTATGATTCAATGGGTAAAAGACTAATTAAAAAGCTATGCCATTTCACAGGACATCTTTTCATTATTGTGTGTAATGGCCCCCACAGGGATAACAGGAAAGATAAATGCCGAATTTTGCATTTTAATAAGACAGTTTTTATCTGCATTCTGGCACTTTTGCTAACCGTTCCCAGGACGCATTGTTATTTTTTAATCACATGTAGAGTAGCTTAGCATATCAAGCTAATTGCAGCCTGTGTATGTTCAATTAAGTTTATGCAAACAACAACACATGGCACAGTGAACAGCTACACAGACTATCTATGTGTCAAAGGAATGGCTGCAGAATATACATGTCTGGTATCCCATTTAAATAGATTCCTTAATACAGGTTGTTCTTTTCCCTTTAGCAATTAGCTAATGAGTCCTGGACTGGGCTGAGAGAACCAGGGAGCTGCACATGGTGCAAAACAAGGAGAATTTAACCCAGAGTACCCATGGGGTTTGAAGGCAGGATTTCTGTAACTTAATGTGATTCAACTTCTTGCCATTTGCAGCACAATTTCCCCAGCATATACCATGAACATTTATGACAAAGTTTTACTGTGTTACACAGTAGAATAGGTCCCTTACACTCTGCATTGCTTGATCAGCATACAGGTGAAGTGTGCTGCATCCACTGGAGGGACATCTCTACATCGCTATGGGTCAAAGGATCTTTATTATATTCTATACCCTAGTTGTTTTTTGAAGCTTATGGGAATGTTTCTGATTTAAAACAAACCCAAACCTTTAAAAAGGCAGGCTGCAATGAGGTTTAGTCACTGTGACCCAGACAAGAGCTTTAAGTAGACAGCCCACTTCCTCTAACAAAATCAGGAAACCATTTACAGGAGTTGCAAAGCACTGTTTATATGACATTTCAGTGCTGACACACAGTGATTCAGTGCTTTTGGGGACAGAGCCTAACAAAACTGCAGCTCTAGGATTATTCCAGTAAATTTCGCCTTGCTTTCTTCCCATTATGCAAGCGATAGATTCAAAACTGGGAAGTTTGATTTTTCCCTTCTGTCGAAAGATTACCAAGCATTAGAGTATCACTTCATTAAACTGCAAATAGCCACTTTAGTATTCCAGCACTCCCTAGGAAATTAAATAAGCACTGTCTCAGAAATATATCGAGGAAACTGAGGCACCCAGAGATTAACCTTCAACTAGCGAAAATCACACAGGAAATCTATGGCATT